AGGTAAAAACGTTAAAAAATATACTTGGCGGTGTTTTACATTTTTAATGTCTATTTTCCACGGATTTCACTAATTTTTGCTAAGTCTTTGTTTCATTAATAATGAAATGATTTTACGTGATCGTGTTATACATTAAAGATAATACTATATGAATTTTTTTAAATTTATACAACAGATTTTTTGGAGGTACAATATTTACAAATGATTTTAGTGATTGTGTTATACATTGAAGATATTCCAATTTGGCTTTTTAGATCAATTATAATAAATTACAGCGTTTACGAAACCATTTTATCCTTATTGTTTAAATATCAAAATAAACAAAACTATTTTAGAAAAATTAGTTTTCAGTCATGATTAGTGTTACATTTCTAAGAACCTATTATTCACACAAATACAAAATATTTATTTTATTTTGTCTTTTACTTTATAATTTAATATTTATTTCTTATTTATTTTATTACATTTATTTTTTCATTGCATTTTATTTTTTATTTCATTTGTTTCATTCTTTATTTCTTTATTTATTTAATTTTATTTATTTTACTTATATCATTCCTTATTTTTTTATTTAATTTATTTCATTTTCTATTTCATTTTATTTTTTATATAATTTATATATATTTATTTTATTTTATTTTAATTATTAAATGAATCGTATATTATCACTAAGAACATGAGAGAGAGACAAGAGAGCTGTGAGAGGGACAACAAAACCGTGAGAGAGCAAGAAAATTGTGACAGAAATAAGAAAGCCGTGGGAGAGTCAAAAAACTCGTGAACGAGACAAGAGAGTCGTGATAGAAGCGAGGATACCGAGAAAGAAACAAGAAAATTGTTAGAAAGACGAGAGTCTTGAAAGAGATGTAAAAGCCATAAAAAAGACGAGAAAGTTGGGAGAGAGATGAGAGTTCTGAGAAAGAGATAAGAAAGCAGAGAAACAGACGAAAAAGATGTGAAGAATACGAGAGAGCCGTGAGAAAGATAAGAAAACTGTAGAAGAGACGAGAGAGTTGTGAGAAGAGCGAAAGTACTGAAAAAGAGACGATAGAATTGATAAAGAGTCAAGAGAGTCATGAGAGAGATGAGGGTTTTGAGAAAGAGACGAGAGAGCTGTAAAAGAGACGAAAAAGGCGAGAGAGAGGCGAGACCTAGAAGACATTTAATTCTTCGACGGCGACTACATAGACATTTACTTCTTCGACGGCAAAGATCTAGACAATACGTAGACACTTAGTTCCTCGATGGTAAACACGTGGACACAAATTTTCTCGATGGCGACCACGTAAACAATCACTTCCTCGACGGCGAAAACCTAGACATCACCTAGACACTTAATTCCTTGGTGGCAACCACGCAGACATTTATTTCCTCGACGGCGATCACGTAGATATTCACTTCCTCGACGGCGAAGACCTAGACACTTAGTTCCTCGACGATGAACACGTAGACATTCACTTTTTCAACGGTAAAGACCTAGACGTCACCTAGACACTTAATTCCTCGACAACGACAACGTAGACATTTATTTCCTCGACGGCGACCACATAGATATTCACTTCCTCGACGGCAAAGACCTAGACGACACCTAGACATTTAGTTCCTCAACGATAAACACGTAGACATTCATTTCCTCGACGGCAAAGACCTAGATGACACCTAAACACTTAGTTCCTTGACGGCGACCACTTAGACATTTATTTCCTCGACGGCGAAGATCTAAATGATACCTAGATATTTAGTTCCTCGACGATGATCACATAGACATTTATTTCTTCGACGGTAACCACGTAGATATTTATTTCTTTGATGGCGAAGACCTAGACGACACCTAGACACTTAGTTCCTCGACGGCAAACACATAGACATACATTTTCTCGATAGCGACCACGTAGACATTCACTTCCTCGATGGCGAAGACTTAGACGACACCTAGACACTTAGTTTCTCGACAGCGAACACGTATACACTCACTTCCTCGACAGCGAAAGCTTAGACGACTCCTAGAAATTTAGTTTCTCGACGGCAATC